TAAAATATAAATTGTGTTTCTAAGTTTTGTTAATTTTGTGAATACAATACAAGATCATCACAAATTATATATTTTTAAAAGATAAATTATGAATATTTAGTAGATAAATTATTTATCTTTAAACCCGAATCTACCTTGCAAAGTGGACCCGGGTCTATAGAATCATTTGTAGCAAATTATACTGTCCATAATGCATTGTGGTCCAACGGTACTATGGGCCCAGCTGGCCATGGCACGGGCGGCGGTGTTGGAGCATGTGTCGGAGACCCTTTAGAAAAAGGGAAAACAGTCTCGTCAAATCGGACATGACGACAGATATAGGTTTTTCCATTTATTGGATCAATGCATCGGTATCCTAAATGACAGAGGGTAATCTAGGAAGACACACGGTACGGAGCGATACTCTATCTTGTGCCGATTATATGGACGAAGATAAGGGTAGCACCGACACCCGAACACTCGTAGAAACGTGTATGAGGGGGACGTTTTGTATAGACGAGAGTAGGGACTTTCAAAGTTTATGGTTGATGATGGTAGAAAGTTGATTAAACAGGTTGCAGTTTCAAAGGTGTAGTCCCAATATTGAAGGGGTACTTTGCCTTGGCGAGTAGGGCTAGGTCGGTTTCAACAATATGTCTATTGCGGCGCTCTACTCGGCTGTTTTGTTCATGCGTATAGACACAGGATTAGCGATGATTTATACCAAGTGTTTGGAATATATTGTGAAGCTTACGGTATTCACCCCCTAAATCTGATTGTATAGACTTGATATAACGTGAAAACTGGGGTTCTACCAACACACGAAACGACTCAAATATTTTATAGATATCTGATTTTACCCGTAACGGATAAAATCAGCAGAACCGTGAATAGTCGTCTACAAATAACAAGAAATAACGACAACCAGTACTTGAGATTACAGGTGTAGGTCCCCAAATATCTGTATACAATAAATCTAGAACATTTGAACTAGTATTTGGAACCCTATCTAACTTAAAACGCGAAGATTTGTCGAGATGACAAGCTGTGCACGACTCCATAGGTTTGGTTTTATTTGACGTGACCGGACAATTCTGCAAGACTTTATTTAGGACGAAACTGTGCAGGTGACCCAGTCTGCTGTGCCATATCGTGGGAGTGGCCCAGGAACTAACAAACGCAAATTGGGATTGTGACTCCGGAAGTTTGTATAAGCCACCCGCCGTGGAACCTCTAATTAGCACTGCTTTGGTTGTGGAGTCCTTCACAAAGAAACAATTATTATGAAACTAAAAGAAAACCTTATTTTCATTAGTAAATTTATGCATAGATAATAGAGGGACCGAAACACTCGGGACATGTAGAATATTGGACAAACGCAAAGGCTTAGAATTACATGAGATTGATTGTGACAACCCAAAATTTAATTTTATAAATTCAATTTTTAGAAATTCCAAAGTAGTCATTTTCACTCCATTAAAAAATTTTGCGATAAATTGGTGTTTGAATAAATTATTTTGAGTACTTTTTAAATTAATTCAACACCAAAACTTATTTTAATTCCAAAATTCTAAATTTTCGGGTACTTCACGTACCAAGTTTTTAAACTGAGAAACCAATATGAGTGAGATCGGGAGAAATCTGAACCAAGTGTTTGTTTAGAAATCATCTTTGAAAAAATTCATTTTGACCCCTAATCTATTTAAAACCACCCCTCTAGACCTTGGTCCATGAAGCTTGGTGAACCACTAGAAGCCATATCTCACTTGCCTGATTCCATCTTCTAGCCTAACTATTTACCATTTTGCCATCAACCAATCATAAGGGAATTTCCTAGGGTTTTGCACCCTATAAAAGCCACCCTATTTCTCCATTGTTCTCTGATCTTATTTCCCCATGCCTCTCCAAGCCAAGTTTGGTAGAAGAAAACATTCATAGTAAGCTATTCTCCATCCATTATCCCTTCATTTTGCTTCTTGAGTTATGTTCCTTTAGCTTCCCAATCTTTGAGATACTTAGGCCTAGCTTTTGTGGTTGCTTTGAGGTGCCTAGGTGGTGAATGGATTGGTGTATGAGTATAGTGGAGGCTGAGATCCACACAAGGAAGAAGAACAAGAGAAGAAGTCTACAAAGGTATAACCTCATGGACTCCCTCTTCGAATTTTGGCTATGTGAAGCCTAGTTTCTTAGATAGAAATGAGTAGAAATGCTAGATTTTTGATGTGTTTGAGCTCAGGAATGATCTATTACTTGTCTATGATGTGTTTATAATGTTTGGAATGTGTTGGAATTGCTTGGGGCTGATTTGCAGATGAAATGGACCATCTAGTGTACACACAGTGTGCACCAGATAAATGTAACGGCCCTAGCCAATGGCCCATCAAGGGAGCCGTTGGCTATAGCCATGGCCAACCAGGCCTAGGGCACGGCCTTAGGAGAGGGCCGTTGCCTAGGTCCGGCATTGTGGCGGCTTGAGGGGGGGCGGGCCATGAGGAGCCCCGTCCTCTGGTCCCTGAGTTGATTATGTGCAGTGGCCGGGCCCTTGTGGCTCAGCTACGTGTCTTTTCGGGTCAGGTGTCACGGGCCCTTGTGGCTCGGTACCTCGGGATCGTCTTGACGCACGTTTTGGTTTTGATTTCGTTGAATTTGGTTTAGAAATGAGCATGTTATGGTGGATTTTGTGATGAAATTGCTTCACAGTAGTATGATTTGTGTTCTTTGCCTTGAGAATTGCTTTATGTTTTTCCCCTTACGACATTTAATTAAGTAATATGAATGTTAGTTTGATTTATTGTTTTAGTTCCATCCTTAGCTTGTGCAATCACCACGGAGTGGTGGTTGTGGCACTGACATTCCCACTATTTTACTTATTAAGTTGTTTATCCGCTGCTTAGTTTATATTAATTGTGGTTTTAGAATTGTAATTAAGTTTAAGAAAAATGGGGTGTTACATTGATGCATGACCAATTCGCGAAATCACCAAACTTGCGCCGTTACCGACTCGTAGGACATTGAGGCCGCCGTATTCCTCGGATAGAGCCATCATGCCGGCATCGGGTGTAGCATGCGCGGTTCCGCCAGTGTCCGGATACCACCCGTCCGTCGGAGTTAACGCAACTGACGCCGGAGCTTCCCCGGAGATGGCCATATGAGCCTGCGTTGGCGGCTACGTATTGTATCTTTTGTAGTAGTACACGGCTGTGTGTCCATGGGAGCGGAAAATTTGACATCTCGGCGATCCTCGTCCGCCACGGCCGCCGCGACTCTGGCCACCGCGTCCACCACGACTGCCACGCCATTGCTGATTGTGAGACTGTCGGCCGCCATCGCCACTTGAGCCGCGACCGCGACCTGCAAACATGGTCGCGGGCGAGCCACCCGCGTCGGTCACCGCGGGGTAGTCATCAATGAGAATAAACTCGTGAGCCTGCAAAAAATCTGAGAGATGAGGTAGCATCATCGGAGCGCCCGAGGCAGTGAGTGACGCGGCCATGGCCTTGAATTCCGGACGTAGGCCCCGGAACACGTACAGATTCCATCAACGACAGCGGACGACCGGCCTGTGCTAGGGACTCGACAAGGAGCTCCGCTCGCCCCAAATAATCCGCCGTCGAGGAGTTGCCGTAGCGTAACGCCTGGAATTGTCCTAGCAAATTGAGACACCGGGCTTGATTGGAGGAACCAAGGGCGGCAGTGATTGATTGCCAAACGTCCGCAGCAGTGTCCCGGCCAACGGCCAAGTGCAGCACTTCATCCGACATGGAGGAGATGAGGAGTGAGAGGATCGATTGATCTTGTTGCACCCATGCCTTATGAGCCGGATTTGAGAGAGGGATCGCAGCTGCTGCACTGGTTGATGACTCGCCAGAGGAGGGGGCATCGGTGATGGTCGCCGGTGGGCACGGGGTATTGCCATCAACGTAACCAAGCAAATCTTGGCCTCGGAGGAACGGAATCAATTGCGTACGCCAGAACAGGAAGTTCCGGTTGGTAAGCTTCATTGATACGTAATGGTGAGCTCCGGCGAGTGGGTTGGGGGCGGTGGTCGACGGAGATCCGGCGGCGGAAACCGTCTGTTCTGAGGAGTTAGTCGACATGGCTTGAAGGGAACGGTGAGGGAGGGAAACGTTTGCGGTGGAGATAGAGAGAGAAGCGATTAACTTGACTGGTACCAGATTAGAGAAGTTCTTTCATTCAGTTTCAACAGAAAGAGAATACATAGTATATCAGCTAATATAACTCTAACAACTCCTAACTAATAGACTCACTTAGTCAACTAAACAAATACCGCATAAATACAAACTATAATAATAACATGATATAATAATAACATTAACAAGGTGACCGTTGCCATTAAGAGGCCGCCTTTAATGCGTGGTCAACCTGGCCGTTGGGAGGCCTAGTAACGGCATCCCATGAGCCCAACGGTCCTTAGCCTTAATAAGCACCATTAAACCACTTTATTATCCCTATTTAAACTAGTAAAGGAGGCTACCTATAAATAGGCCCCCTTTTGAGAATGTAAAGGTAAGCTTCTTCCGGCAGAGAGTCGCTAGAAAGTGCAAATAAAAGTACCAGATTCATATCAATTATCTATCTTTTAGTAGCTTTATTTTTACGGTGAATCCACCAACTACGGTTGTGTTGGACCTTTTTGGGTTCAAAAATCCTAAAACCAACGGTTTCATTTCAATTTAATTGCAATTTCATTTAATAATATAAAAATAATACGTGAAGCAATGTCAATTTAAATATATTGTAATTTCGTTTAGTAATTAATACAAAAAAAAAAAAAAAACGCGCTCCATTAAGTTGTAACGATTGTCGTTTCTTTACTTAAAGAAACACGGCACCGTTTTTAGACCATGATCCATAAAGCTTTGGCAGTCCACAGTATTATTGCTGATCATTTGCCCGTAAACAGGTAGTTGAAGTAATATAATGTTTAGAAAGGTGGATTGGCTGTTTCAAAAAAAAAAAAAAAAAAAAAAAAAAGGTGGATTTTTTTATCCAAAAGAGGCAAAGATCAGATTATGATTTACATACCGACAAAGATTTTTACACCATTTGCTTTTTGACATCTAATCAGTAATCACATCACATCAATAATATTTGCAGCTTGGCTGCTTGTCCCTACCAGTCAATAATATTCCTTTTCTCCGGTCAGTAACCACGACGGAATTGACTTTGTTGTAGAGGATAATTGAAGCAAGCCCCACCGCTTTCTCCGCTTTAATTTGGCACGGATCGGAGGGAAACTCGAATTCGATTCAACGTCAAAAGCTTCCGGTTTCAATTCCAGTCCCGTCTGATTGAGGAGCTAAACCGGGGTTTTTAATGGCAGAATCTGGGCTCTGATCTGCACAGCGGGCAGTTAGTGTGAGATCGGAACCACATATCAATGCAATCGCCAAATTATTGTGTTTTCACTGTGTGAATCATAATAAAAAGTTCTTATAAACGAAAAAGGTGTAGAAGGATTTATTGTATTACTCTCATGTCTCAATAAAAAAACAACAGACAAATATATACAGATTTAAAAGACACAATCTTATAGATACAACTCTACACAATTAACATATATATTCCTACAGACCGAATGAATGTATATTATACAAATAATATAATTTTTTTAATATAATGTATATTTTTAATATACTAAAATCTTAAGTATAATTTACACACTTATGTAAACCATAGTCCACTGCAATCAGCATGGAAGGAAGCAATGCCCGCATTTGGGCAAGACCCGACCCGTCTCAATATCTTTGAGCTCCGACAAGTACACGGAGCATTCATGTGGACGGCCGTCGCGTCCTTCCGCCGACGAATGGACAGAAGTCGTCGGAAGGGATTCTTGTGAAGACGGGTCAAGTCCATGAGCGCTAGCACCGTCGACGGCGTCACTGGAGTCTTCGAGGAAACCCAGTTTGCGGCGGCGCCGTGCAAACACGTGGAAGAAACCTAAGAAAACACAAACCAACACAACAACAACTACAGAGATTAACATGAATTTTCCGGTGAAGACGTAGTTTGAAGATTTGCAACACTCTCTAATTGAGCTGTCATCCATGGCTTCCGGCCTCAAGATACGAATTGAGTGCAGTGCAGTACGTATGCCTCCTATACTTACATATTTATAAAAACAAGGCGGTTGCAGAGAGTTGCAGATAGAGCTAGGAAAGAGGAGAGGAAGTTTCGTAGAGGGGGTGGGCCGGGGTAGCACTGCTATATGGTACGTTATAAATTATAATCACCAATTATTCAGAGACAGTATTTTTTTCTTTTTTTGGAAATAAAAGGAGGGGTATACGGTATACCCCATACATAACAAAGACAACTTAGTGCTCCTCCATCGACCATGGTGACTCTTCGAGCTCGCGAAACACCCATCAAGTTCTCACGGACATCCTCGAGAGAGACTGAAAATGCCTGTAGATAAATTACCCAGACGTTGCCATTTTAGCTATAAAGTTTGCAATCCGTGTTCTTAACATACACATAAACTCTTAATTGAATATAGGAATAAGGATCAAATAGGTCATCAAACTGCACACAATAATTCAATTAGGCCACTAAACCTAAAAAATAACAATTAAACCATTAAACTAACTAATTTCTTTCAATTAGTTTAATTTATATGTTTTGCAGGTTACTAACAGGTCACCCAACAAATTAAAAATATTTTTTAAAAATAATAAATTAATATATATATATTTTTTAAAAAAAAGCGTTTCTTCCTCTCTGCCGCGGACGATAGGGATGGCAACGGGGCGGGGCGGGGGCGGGGAGTATACTCCCCGTCCCCGTCCCCGCTACCCCGTCCCCATCCCCGTCCCCGTCCCCATCCCCGTCCCCGTGGGGAATTAGGCGGGGACGGGAATTCCCCATTCCCCGTTAATTTTTTGTTAAAATGTTAAATAATTTTAAATTTTAATAAAAATTTTAAATGTACTGTTAGCATTGCACTTATACTAACAGTGTACTAATCCTCAAAAAAAAACAGTGTACTATATTTATATATGTATGCACTTATACTAACAGTACTAATCCTAAAAAAAGGCAGTGTACTATATTTATATATGTAATTAACTCTCTCTCTCTCTCTATATATATATATATATATATATATATATATATATATATATATATATATATAATTATTCGGGGACGGGGCGGGGCGGGGCGGGGAGGGTTGTCCCCGTCCCCGTCCCCGTCCCGGACGGGGAATCATAAATGTTCCCCGTCCCCGTCTCCGTTCCCCGAAAATTTTCCCCATCCCCATCTTTTTCGGGGTGGGGATCGGGGATCCCCATCAGGGACGGGGCACATTGCCATCCCTAGCGAACGAAGATAATCTTCATCTCCATGGCCGGAGACGAAGAAACTTTTTTTTTTATATAATAAATATCTTTTAATTTATTATTTTTAAATAATAATTTTTTAAAATATTTTAAGTTTTTGGGTGACCTGTTACTAACCTGCAAAACCTGTAAATTAGACTAATTGAAAGAAATTGGTTAGTTTAGAGGCCTAATTGTTTTTTGTTTAGATTCAGTGGCCTAATTGCATTATTGTGTGCAGTTCCTATTTGACCCTTATTCCTAGAATCTACATAAACACAAGTGTTAAAAAAAAAATAACAAAATTAGACAGACAGAATAGTATCTCGCGTCAATTTCTCACACAACTTATAGAAATGATATTACTGTGCGCCCTGGTGCACAATATACAATTGAGAAGTTATGGTCCGGAAAGCCAGTTTTATTGAGCCGTATTGGGTGACTTATGATGGGGCGTAATCTCTTCTATTAATGGGCTTTTCCCTATATTATGGGCCTGAGACTATAGAATCCATAATGGCGCGAAGAATTTACAACAACCACCGCGGCAGTTAAAATACCGTCGTCCGGTTGCTCAACTGTACTGGCAGTGGGAGATGCTCAACTGCAATTGGCCGGCGAGATGAACGGAAAAACGTTGATGGAGGTCGGAGACGACGGCGTCGCCGTTATCACCATCAACAATCCACCTCTCAATTTACTCTCAGTTAACGGTACTTTTACCCATTAACTTCGAACTTTATTGATTCTCGACGGATCAAATTCTGGTTCCTCACTGTTTTCTCTTCCAAATTCTTTAGCTTTAAAGTTTCTGAAATGCTATCCATTCGGTGTTTTAAGTGTTACTCAGCTTAAAAAGGAGCGTAGAGGAAGCCGTACAGAGAGATGATGTGAAAGCAATAGTTTTGATTGGTATGCTCGAAAGAGTATTCTAATTTGGTAACTAAATGAGAAGCCAGAGGGGTATTCACCTGTAAACCCTAAATCTTGAATTTGACTTGGCAGGTTCCGAAGGATATTTCTCGGCAGGCTTTGACGTGACGGCCTTTGGTGTAAGCCAAGGGAAAAAGAGTAAGAATTGTTAAAACTTTTTTCTATAATATGGAAAACGTAAGCTCCAATAGTCCAATGTGTATAAAGGGGTTCATTTCAAAACAGAAAGGAAGGACCTTGGCTTCATGTCTTTAGAATTTGTCACTGACACTTTGGAAGGTAAATGTACTTAGAACACCTTGACTATCTTGTTTTAAATGGAATGTATTTTATATAGCTGATTCACAATGATCATCTCTCTGATGGTGTTTTTTTGCATCTTAGCTGCAAGCAAGCCTTTAGTTGCTGCTGTGGAAGGCCTAGCTTTAGGTGGTGGACTTGAGATTGCACTTGTAAGTAACAATTCTTTTCAATTAAAAACAAATATGTTCATCCCTTCCCCTTCTCTTCCACTTTACTTTTCCTAATACTTGCACTTGGCTGGTAGATGTGCTTTTAATGATATATTATTGGTCTACAACATTAGGCCTGCCATGCCCGCATATCAACTTCTGCAGCAAAATTGGGTCTTCCAGAACTTCAGTATGGGATTCTTCCTGGACTTGGAGGTGCAATAACTATTTCCCATGCATAATATTTAATCTACTGTGTTTGGCTGTTTGCCTCTCTACATTTGATTTTATAGATAGGCGTGCACTGTGGCGAACTATTAAAATTTATACGTACAGGTCCAAGGTCATAGGTGTTTGATAGTGTCACATTCTATATATATATATATATATATATATATATATATATATATATATATATATATATATATATATATATATATATATATATATATATATATATATATATATATATATATATATATATATATGATTCTTTATGATTTATAGATATCTTGCTGAACTGGACTCAAGCAAATTTTTTGGATCAGGAACACAGCGGCTTCCTCGCTTGGTTGGCCTTTCTAAGGCTCTTGATATGATATTGGTATAGTTCAAAGCTCTTTTCTCATGCCTTCTCCATCCCCCTTGCAAGGTTTTATTTCCTTGCCTTCTTTGTCTATCTTGTTTCATAGAACATACATGCATTCAAACACTTTGAGTCATCTACTCATAGGAGATGTGAAATTTCTCTTTAATTATGTGGCTGTTTCATGTCCACCCTATCTGCTGTTGTAGCCATCACCTTATTTGAGACAAATATGCATTATTCTTTGAACTTCAGATCTAAATTATTAGGAAGTCCAACTTATCCCTTCCCTTTCCTTTCTTCCTCTAGATGTCAAAGCGAATAGATGGAGAGGAAGCTCTAACTGCAGGCCTCGTTGATGCTGTAGCTCCAGCTGATAGGTTGCTTGGAACAGCTCGTCAGTGGGCCTTGGATATACTAGAGTCTCGAAGACCACAAATGATTAGTCTTTACAGGACTGACAAGTTAGTGCCCCTTGCAAAAGCGAGGATAATACTCAAGTCCGCTAGAGATCAGATCCAGAAACTAAGCCCAAGTCTTACTCACCTTTCAGTTTGCATTGATGTTATTGAACACGGCATAGTTTGTGGTCCTCGTGATGGATTATGGAAGGTGAGTCGTTTCTCATTGTTGAAATAAGTGGCGAAGTGCAATTACGTTGACTTCGTTCTTTTGTGCAGGAAGCAGAAGCTTTATATGAACTTAGGCAATCTAATACTTGCAGAAGCTTGGTCCATATATTCTTTGCTCAACGTGAAACCTCAAAGGTTTGAACAAAATCTATCAATTTTTTTGTCCCCCTTTCTAAAAGGTTTCAACAAATGACGACTTCTTTTCTCAGTCAAGAAAATGATCTAAAGCTAAAATTTGATGTTCTCAGTTTAGAAGAATGATGATTTGAGATCCCTGCTTATATTTTGTTGCTTAAACTTGTCTTAGCTTCCCGGGGTCACCAATATAGGCTTATCACCGAGGAACATTGGCAATATTGCAGTAATTGGCGGGGGGTTGATAGGCTCTGGTATAGCAACAGTGTTGGTTCTGAATAATTTTCGTGTAGTCCTGAAAGAAGAAACTGAGGCTTCTCTGCAGAATGGGATTGGCAGGGTCAAAGGTGAGGTCAAGCGTATTTTGGTTTTTCTCTATTCGGTTATTTTGATAGAACGGTAAAATACAGGTTTTCTTGTCTTCATTTTCAGCCAATCTGGAAAGCCATGTCAACAAGGGAAAGACGACTCGGGAGCAGTTCAAGAAAACCTTTTCTCTTATAAAGGGTGTCCTAAGTTATGAGGGTTTCAAAGACATGGATCTAGTCATTGAGGTAGATTTCTTAATAGTCAACACTTCAACTAGTACTTTATGCTCAGAATGCTTGGAGAGTAATCTTGGAACTGGTAAGGGAGATACCAGATGAAATTATATACATTTTCTTATCCTTCTTTCTTTTGTCGTACTTAGGCAATGCCCGGTATCCCTTCCTCAAAGGAGAGAATTTTTGCTGATCTAGAAAAACATTGTTCTCATGATTGCATATTTGCCTCCAGCAGCAGTGTAAATTTGAATTTGATTGTTCAAACAAGATTACACAATCGGATAGTAGGGTTCCACTTGTTCAGGTACTAGATGTGTTCATTGAGGACTTATGTCTCTGTCATGACTCCTTATCCAACACTTTTTTGTTTTCTGAATGCAGCCCCCTTCCTGTTTTTTCTCTCCTGGAAAGTGTCCGTACAGAAAAGACATCATCTCAAGCAATTGTTAACCTATTAAATTTTGGGCGGAAGATTAGAAAAACTCCTGTAGTTTTCAGAAATTTCTCAGGTTCTGTAGTCAATCGCATGCTGGTCCCATACTTTCAAGCAGCATTTCTTCTTGCTGAACATGGTGCAGATGTGTACCAGATTGATAGTGCCATTGCTAGCTTTGGGATGCAACTTGGCCCATTCAGGTGCACTGCCATTTTGGATTAAGTTAACGTCAAAACGATGTTATCACATTGTACATGACACAGAAGTCCACAGTTTCAAAATCATTGTTTTGTCCTCTTAAGAATGAGAAATGATTGAAGATCTAAAAGATTTAAACATAGTGCCAGATGCTCTAGAAAAATAGTTTGGTTTAATATATACCAAGTCGAATATGCTTAAGTTTTCTTTTATACTTTTGAGAGGATTGCCTAAATATCTTTTATTAGTATTAGAAACTTAGAATGCATCAACAATTTCTTGGTTTTAATGTAAAAATCTTTGCAGAATGATTGATCTGATTGGTTTTCAGACTGCTATTGGGACCATCACAAAATTTGTAGAAAATTTCCCAGATAGATCCTACAAATCATTGCTGATACCAGTCATGCTAAAAGATAACTATGAAGGTACTTGTCCAAGTAAGGAGTTCCTTTTCTTTGATGAACTCTGATGGGATTTTTACTGATTTTCTCTCAAGTAATAACACTTTCCAGGTGAATCTACTGGCAAGGGTTTTTATCTGTACGATGACAAGGGAAGGAACCAGCCAAATCCATTGATCCTGAAGTGTATTAAGGAGGCTAGGAATCTCTCTGGTGTCAACATTAACTTGGAGGTCTCTCTATCTCTCTCAAAGCACTAAGCACTTTGAGCTCATGTTTTGTACCAGTTCACCATGCCATCAATATAAAATGGAAAACGTAACATCGTTTTGAATACAGGTGAAACGATTGGCTGATGAAGAAATACTTGAGATGATACTGTTCCCCATTGTCAATGAAGCGTGCCACATCATTTCAGAGGGAATTGCAGATAAAGCATCTGATCTTGACGTTGCCTCTGTTATGGGCATGGGATTCCCGGCATACAGGGGAGGGGTCATCTTCTGGTCTGATATTATTGGCTCCAAACATATTTGTTCAAGATTGGATGATTGGTCAAGGAAGTATGGGAACTTTTACAGACCCTCTGCCTACTTAATGGAGCAAGCATCTAAGCAAGGTTCCTTGGTAAGAAATCTTGACTGATACAGAAAACTAATGTTTAGTTTCATGACACATGCTTGCTGTCACCATTTATCTTCCCAGTTCCCCAAACCATGAGACTTGATTCACTGTTTAAGGATGTGTATAAAACACAAATGCAGGGTGCAGGGAATCAGCAGATGTCAAAATCAAGATCACAGTTGTAATTGCATCTCCAATGTTAAAGGAGTTTTCTCCTTCCACATCATCTAACGAAAAACAAAAAAAAAAAAACATATTAGTCATAGAAGTGGTGAGCAACAGTCCGTCACTTTCTGGGCACAGCACGCTGCACTTTTCATCGTCTTCTTACTCAGATGGAGGAGTTTTCTCCCCCATCGGAGATGCCCGAACTACTAGGCTGGCCAAGTTCTTGAAGTTGTGATCTTAAGGCCATGTAATGAGAAGAGAGTTGGGAACATCATATCACAAAGGCTATGCTGTGGAATGTGGAGAAAGCCATATGCAAGGTAGTGTCAGTTTGAACTGGTAGAACCCACCCACCTGAGTTGTGCACATTAATATAAGCACCCTTGTAAAAAAAATGATGTTTTGGATGAAAGGGTAGCCGGCATTTTCTATATGCTAAACAAATGTGTTTCATAAGCTTGGTTCTCTTATAATGATACTGTTAAATGTTGCAGATATTTTAAGATTTGAATATGTTGATGTGTTTTGACTTATCTCCAACTTTTACTTAGTCATTAGTAATTACATTTACAGTTGGTTTTTTATAGTAAGTTTGAACCCTAACTTAAAGGAGGCCTCTCACTACTCAATCGCAAGATGTGCTTCGGACTATAACGGGGCGTTTGATTGGAGTGAGGGAATTACGTGGGAAAGAAATTGCAATTTCATGGGAGATGAATTACTGAGAATAAAGTGAGAATTTAAATTCTAGTGTTTGGTTTACAGGAATAAAATTACTGAGAATTTCAATTCCAATGTTTGGTATACATGGGAATTGAAAGAGAATAAGTAGTATAAAGTCCAAAATGTCCATTGTTATTGTCAAGCATTAATTTTAGGTAAAAAAAAAAAAAAAAAAAAAAAAGAGGGGTAATTTTGACTTATCACTGTCTTTTTTTTCTTTCTAAAATCTCAGGAATTAAAATAACAGGGGAGACATGAGATTTTAATTCCATGAAAATGGGGAAATTGCAATTCCATGAAATTGCAATTCCTTTCAACCAAACAAGAGAATTTTGTGGGCTTTGAAATTATGTGGGAATTAGGTTGGAAGAAAATTTAAATTCCCTTCAACCAAACGCCCTGTAAGTTCCTATACCTTCTTTCACGGTGCTTTGAAACAGACTAATCCTAAACCCCCACGAATTCGCCTTACGCCTACAAGAGATCTTCTAAGTCCCCAATGACTCATCAGGTTCTCAATGGAGCTCACCCCTACTGCAAAAAAAAATAAACGTTGGTTAGTTGACCACTTGAGTTATCCACCGAGGCATTAATAATAATTTAAAAATCCTTTATATAATAAAGCTATATGGTTTGGGAAATAATTAATGTTACAATTAATGCCACAACATCTTTTATTATTAAAAAAAACAACATTTAAAAAATAAAATAGCTATATATTATATAATCATATAAAAAATATACTTTTGAAAAATAAAATAGTTATATATTATATAATCATATAAAAAATGTGTTCAATTAGAGTTTAAATTTACACATACAAAATTTAAAATTTGCTTTCCAAATGTAATTATCTTAGTTATTATTCGTATTGTGAAAATTATAATATAGATGAAATACAATTAATAATAAATCAATGTAATTATGTAAATTATCTCTATAAGTTTATTTGAATATGCACATAATTAGAGATTATATTAATAATATTTTAATTTTTTTAATTTTAATTTTAATTTTAATTTTGTATTCTATAAAAATAATAAATACTTGACCAATGGAAGCTCAAAAATATTATTATATTAAATAATTTAAAATATTTTAATTTTTCTATTTTTTATTTATATTTATAATAACATAATTTTTTCCCGTGCATCGCGCGGGTGAATTACTAGTATGTATTAAAAGTTAAAACGATAACAACTATTGATAGTAAATAAAATGATTAAACATATATTGCATTATAACAGGTTGTACAAAAAGAAATGGTTGAGTTCACTAAATAAACAAATAAATAATGACATTATTATTATAACCAACTAATAAACAAAATATAAAAAATGATCATTCCATCACTAAATGATTATAGGAATCCCATGATTCTATGAACAAACAATAACAAAACAAGTACATATTATTATGATATCCGCTGGATTATTAAACATTACAAGAATTTTAAAATTGATGAAATCTCTCCTCCAACTAATATACGTTAAATTAATATACTTTTTTTTTGTTTTTGTTATGACAAATGAAACTTACATCCACTGTTTTAAGGTATGTATTAGGCAAATATGTTCATGTGTAATAATCTGTAAAGCACACAATGGATGTAACAAATTGCACTAAGAAGGCTGAGAGTCATTAGGTAAACCTAATCTACCCGACTCTTACGTATAGATTGCAAATCACACAATAAAAATAAATTGCATATCACATTAGAAAGCCTGAAGGTGTGCATTAGGTAAACCTTAAGTAAACTGTACTACGAAAATCTTATGCAATGGATTCGACTGAGATGATATTGGCAATAATCAAATTTCTGACCTTCTGACAATGATTATTTGTTATTTCCTTTTACTATAAATATATTATAGTACAATACATTTTAATATATGAGAATTAACAAAAAAAAAAATTAATTAATTTTTTTTCTTTCTCTCCTCTCAAATTATATATATAGATATATTATATGTAATATGAAAAAAAAAAAAAAAACAACAAAAAAAAAAAAAACAAAAAAAAAAACAAAACAAAACTTTGCTAAACATCCGAATTTGGGTTGACATTAACCCGACCCGATAAGGTTAACTATTTTTAACCTTTCCTCCCAACTTTGACGCTGACATCCTCCGACAGCTTTCCACGACGAAGACCACAATTGAAATATCAATATCTGAGCTATAAATGGAAAATTAATAAATAGATATAGTCCGTATTTATCTTTTCTTTTTGTAATTGACCTTCATGCCCATGTTCATCTGCACACTCAAAATGTCTTGTAATATAACAAAGAAAGGCATCAATTTCAGTAAATTCTCGATATAGTCCTTAATATTTAACTTTGTTTATTTTTAATTCATCTATGAAGTTATCAATGTTTTAATTGTACCCTTTGATGTGATAATTTATAGTTAAAAGTTTCAATCTTAACTATAAAATTCTTAAATTTTTATGTTCATCCTTAAATGTTTAAAAATTCATCATCATATTTGGCTATATTTGCATTTTATTGAACTGATTTAGGCATCACTAGAGCCCACTGATATTTTATTAAAATTATTTAGATTTAATCAAAATAGCACGTGATATATTTAGATAATTCGATGGTGCTAAAAATAGTATGTAGTGTTACTTGTGCATGGCATGTAATATTATTACTCAGTTTGTTAGTTAATGAATTTTATTATAACGTTATCTGTTTACGGTTTAAAAGAGTAACAGACTAATAGTATAATTTTTATTTTTATTTTTTGAGTACTACTGACTCTGTTATAATATCACTGCATAACTACTTTCTCAACCTACTGAAGCATAAAGAGTCAATATCGCATTCACTGAGACTTGAACGCACAAGCTCCCATAGGAGAGAGTAACTTGGTGCCACTAGATTACAAGGTCCTTGGCAAGTAACAATATAATTACTAAAGTGCCATGTACAAGAAAAATGATATTTGTATTGTTATTAATTATGAGTATGAGGAGATGACTTAATAGATACTCATAAGCTAGGAGTAACCATGACTTTATAGTCTCATAACATAATTTTAGCTGCAAAACCAATGATATGTCGACGTGGCCTACAGAGCATTAAATGTCATTTTAATCTGATCAGATAACTGTACCCTCTATCTGAATAACGATTTTAACGGCTACTGGCATCGTGTAATAGATACTCATAAGCTAGGAGTAACCATGACCTTACAGTCTCATAACATATTTTTAGCTGCAAAACCAATGATATGTCGACGTGGCCTATGGAGCATTAAATGTCATTTTAATCTGATCAGATAACTATACCCTCTATCCGAATAACAATTTTAACGGCTACTGGTATCGTGTAATAGATACTCATAAGCTAAGAGTAACCATGACCTTACAGTCTCATAACATAATTTTAGCTGTAAAACCAATCATATGTCGACGTGGCCTATGGAGCATTAAATGTCATTTTAATCTGATCAGATAATTGTACCCTCTATCTAAATAACGATTTTAACCGCTACTGGTATCATGTAACTAAATCCACCTTATGTATCTAGGATATTATTAAAATGGCCCTTCATGTTTCTAGATTGAGCATTATTGAACCAATCCAACACCAAATGCTCTAATGTGTGAATAGTTTTAGAAAATCTATTTTATCTTCCTCTAAGAAAGATTAGTAACTTTTATTCAACCTATAAAACATTATTATGCCTTATTGTTTAACAATATTATTTTGCAAGCTTGGAAGTCTAATGTTATTTCATAGAAACTAAACAACATAAACATCAAGAGGAAATTGAAATAAATAAAAGTATTGGGTAATACAAAAAATAAGTAAAATAGTAAGGATGAAAACAGTAATATTTCAATCCCAGTGGCAAAATAGTCAAATAGATTGGTAACTGTACAGAAAATCTTCGTTCCGCTAGCATTTTCTGTGTCCTAAATAACCTCCATTGGTAATGGTTTCGTCGTTATAGCTCCGGAACTGTTTTTGGTGGAAAGGCGACGAAGAAAGGGAAAAAGTAAATAACAGTGCCGACAATGAACTCGTCGAAGATGCGCCGGAAGGTAGTTCCGGCGGCGGCCGAGAACGGTGAATCAGCCGACAAGCTTGACCAGCTCCTCCTGTCCTCCGCCATCTGCAACGGAGAAGATCTCGGTCCCTTCGTTCGGAAGGCTTTTGCTTCCGGGAAGCCAGAGACTCTCCTCCACCACCTCCGCCATTTTGCTCGATCCAAGGAATCGGAAATCGAGGAAGTATGCAGGGCTCACTACGAAGACTTCATCACCGCCGTAGACGACCTCAGATCCCTCCTCTCAGACGTTGATTCACTCAAATCCTCGCTCTCCAACTCCAATTCTCAGCTCCAGTCCGTTGCTGTTCCGCTCCTCACCTCCCTCGACTCCTTCGTTGAAGCTCGCAACAAGTGCAAAAATATTAGCCTCGCTATAGAATCTCTACGAACTTGCGTGCAATTAGTCGAGCTTTGCTCGCGAGCCAACTCTCATCTCTCGAAGAACAACTTCTACATGGCTTTGAAGTGCGTGGACTCAATTGAGCGAGAGTTTCTGGATCAAACACCGTCATCTACGCTCCGCAGAATGCTGGAGAAGCAGATCCCGTCGATTCGATCGCATATTGAACGCAGAGTCAACAAAGATTTTGGGGATTGGCTTGTTGAGATCCGAGTTGTTAGTCGGAATTTAGGCCAGTTAGCCATCGGACAAGCCTCCGCAGCGAGGCAAAGAGAAGAGGAACTTAGAATCAAGCAACGGCAAGCCGAGGAGCAGAGTCG